CGTTGCTGTCCTTCCCAGTCGGTTCCTCGCTTTCTCCCTCATTGCACTCAAGTATTACAAGTGCAGATATACAAGGCGCACCGCTATCCGCCGCATGCCCAGTCTTACATCCGTACTTATGCATCTGTAGTGTATATACATGTGCTGCTGTATCATACCAATGCTGCGCACGTCGTGTTACACCATATGATAGCTACGCTGCGGATTAAAGCGCCGCCACGCTATTTTCTCGTGCTGGGTAAATCATGGTGCTGTACTAGTGCTATTCTGTTGGAGCCGGCAAACCGCGGAGAGACACCCGAACACACAAGTATGGTAGAGGATATACGCAGGAGCTACCTTAGGCTACCTTAGGCCCCACTGGGATGCACGGGCGCCCCACTTGTACTGCTACTGTGCACCAGCAGTGTTGCCGTACATCTGGCCATACAACCTGAAGTCTGGCGGCTCTTCAGATGGTGACTTAGCTATTTTATAGCCCTCGGCATACAAATATCAAATGTATTTTGTGTTTTTTCCATAGCCCCCTTCCTCGACTCAAAAAGTCATGAAACGTTCAATCGCCGGTTTCGTGGGGGGGGGGCATTGTCAAAATGTAGCGTTCTGAAGGAAAGCGTTGTTTGTGGAAGGCGGTTTCAATTCGTGGGAAAAGGAGGGGATAGGGGATGTGACCTGCCTCACCGTCCCCGAGTAAGCGTTCAGTTCAGTTTGCCCGTAAGACAGCCAAGCGAAAGGGAATAGCTCGGAGGACAGGTGGCCTCGCGAGCAGCGCCCCATAGGTTGCAGAGCCAGCTAGCAAAAACCGAGAGGCTGGACACACCAGAGTTGAGAGAGAACACGTAGGGTCTTGATCGATTTTTCCACCCGCCCACCCTATCGCTCAAGAGAGGGAGGGAATCAGGTTGCACAAAGTTGATTGGGGCCAACGTAAAGGTATTGTAGTTGATTTTTTTTGTTTTTTGTTTTTTGTTTTTTCTCCCTCTTCCAGTACTACTTCACAAGAGTAGTCGAGAGGGTCAGGTAGTCCCACGGGGGTGGAGGCTACCTTCGTACCGGGTTGGCTGAGTCTTTTATTTGGGGAATATTATAGAGACAGGGAAGGCTGGACCCTCGTGGGTTCGGGTCGTGTTCTATGCGTCCTCAGATTGTATGATTCAGTCCTGTTGAAGAGTAGAAAAATAA